AAGTTGACAAGAGGGAGCTGTTGGTGCCGACTGCGACACTCGGCGTCGCACTGCAGCTCAATGAGCTCCAGCTGCAGGTGGTCTGGAGCGTCATCAGGGTCCACAGAGAAAGGAGATGAAAAAAGCGTGATCTCCTTTTCAATAGCTGCAAAATCCCGAAAGCGCTGTTGAAACTCCTCAACCAGAGATGAGATGTCTGCTTCATACCTCCTTATTTGCGCACTCATATTGTTCTGTGGAAAACTGGTCATTATTTCCTGCAGCGATGGGAAATGTGTGGCATTGGGCTGCGTTTGTGACAGGTGCCTTTGGAAAAGTAGCAGCTTGGTCCCAAAGGCTTTGATATGTGAATACAGTTGGCTTACCACTGCATTTTGCCGCTGAAGGCTCGTGTTCAGCATGTTCAGATGTCGTATTATGTCAACTAAAAATCCAAAATCAGCCAGCCAAACAGGATCAGATAGCTCTGGCATGGGTTGTCCCTTTTTTGCCAAGAATTGTCCAATTTCCTCCCTAAGAGTGTAGAAGCGCTGCAGTGCAGACCCCCGACTGAGCCATCTTACCTCATTGTGATACACAACCTCTCCGCATTCAGCCTGGATGTCGAGTAGAAACTGTTGAAACTGGCTGTGGCACAGGGCTTTGGAGCGAATATAATTATTAATTATTAATTAAATAATAATTAAGGCTATTAATTAATAGCCTTCATCACCAGTTTCATAACATGATCATATTTCAGATGTTTGGCACAGAGAACTTGTTGGTGAATAATACAGTGGAGTTTTATAGCTTTGCCTCCTTCTTCGCTGACTTTGTTACAGACTAGGGTTGATAATCCACTTCGCTCGCCAGCCATGGCAGGTGCGCCATCCGTAATAATCCCAGTGACTTTATTCCATGGTAGTTTCATGTCATCTACGGCGGAACAAACAGAAACAAATAAATCTGTTCCTCTTGTTTGGTCCTTAAGACTCTGGAGGTCAAGTAGTTCTTCACTCACGTTCATGTCATTGTCCACTCCTCTCAAAAAAATCAATAACTGAGCGGTGTCAGATGCATCCGTGCTTTCGTCTCAGGCTAACGAAAAAAAGTCAAACTCCACTCCTTTTGCCTCTGTCTTTTAATATCAGATGAAATGTTTTCAATTCTCTGTACCAGTGTTACATGCCAGGCAAACATTGGCAAACTCTTGCTTCTTCTCAGGACAAATTTTCTCCACCCTTTTCATCACGCAGTCTTTAATAAATTCACCCTCAGTAAAAGGTTTGCAGTGCTTGGCAATCAGCGTTGCCACCTCATAGCTCGCCTTTGTGGCATTTTCATTTGACTCACGGGCTCTTGTGAAAAAGCGCTGCTGTGCCGTTAAAGCAGCTTCCAGTGCCTTCAATTTTTCGCTGTGTTCGTTCCCAGTTAGCTCATTGTAGTTAGCATGTTTTGTCTGGTAGTGCCTCTTGATATTGAATTCCTTGAAAACAGCCACAGTCTCTTGGCAAATTAGGCAGACACAGTTGTTTCGTATTTCAGTGAAAAAATACTCCAATTTCCACTTGTCCTGGAAGCGGTGGCCCTCGCTGTCAACTTTCCTTTTTTTAGTTACAGTCGCCATTTCAGGAATGGGCACACAAGCCTTGTGTCACAAGGGTCACGCGGGAGAGTGCTGACTCAGGGCTACTGCCATCTTCTGGCGAAATATAACCACCAGCCTTGAAGGGGCAGAGGCAGCAGGGGACAGATGCGGGAACCGCTGTGCGGTGAAGGGAAAAACGCCGGTCGGCGGGGATGAGTGACAGGCCGAGTCGGCGGGGAGAAGAGGCTGTGGGCCAGTCGAAATGTGAAAACGGGCCGCAATTGGCCCCCGGGCTGGACTTTGGACGTGCCTGCCCTAAATCATTTCAATTGCCCCTTTCAGTATTTTTCCTTAAAAATGTCCTTTATTAGGTGGAGATGCCAGAAAGGCATTCAATATTCTAAGGTGGTTACACCGTAGATTTGTGTAAGGGCAGTAATCACACTGGCAAGCTTATTTGCCAGGGCCTCTCTTGATTACACCTCACATGAAATTTGCCTTTTTCTCAGCAGCAGCACACTGGGACAACGCTGTACTGAGCAGTCCATCACACCCCCAAATTCCCTTTCTTGGTCAGTCATTGTCAGCTCATACCTGAAGCACAAATTTTTGCCCAGGTGTGCATCACTCCACACTGCTTTTGCCATTGTAATGTCCATTTCCCAGGTTGGAGATTGATCCTCAGAACCATTTGGCTTGGACCACCCTAAATAGTTATCATCAGCAACTTGGCCACAGCTCACTGCTCAGGCCAGATTCCAGACCATGTGTGAATAACTTGGAAAGCATCGGGCACTTCCTAACAATGAACCTGGTGGGACCCCACTGTTTACATCCCTCTGGCAGGAGCAATTTGATCCCTGCTCTCACCTTTCTATTCTTTAACCAGTTACTGGTTCATAAGAGGATCTCCTGCCCAGTCTTATTCCATGACTCCAATGTTTGCTCAGGAACTGACAAAAGGCTCTTGCAAGTTCAAGTAAATATTGTCTGTGTCTAGCATGAAGGCTGATCTTACGGCCATGTTATGTATTTTTGTAAGGAGGTCACTGGGTTCTTTGACACCTCGAGGACACATAGCCCCTGGGTCCAATGATTTACTAATTTTCAGTTTGTCGATCAGGTTGAGCTTTTCATCTTATGTCACCACTTAGTTCCTCAGACTCTCTTCCTGAATGCTAAGCTCAGGAATGGGTCTCTGTCTGCTATCTTCTGCAGTGAAGGCAGACTCAAAGAATTTGTTCAGCAACTCTGCAATCTCCTTATCCTTCTTAGTATTCCCTTAATTGTATCATCACCCAGTGGCCCACCTGCCTTCCTAGCCGGTTTCATGCCTTTGCTGCCTAAGACGATGTTCCAGCATCTTACAGGGTGTTTGCCATTTTCGTAATAGGTCTGTTATGGGCAGTTTAAAGCCAATTTCCCCTGCTGAAACTGGACATAATTCGGCTAATATCAAACATTCTGTAATTCCTCATAAAAGTGTACACTTGCAGAAAGTGGTAAACTGCGCAAGGTATAAAATCCAAATAATGAATGAAATGCAGCTAACATGAGCAGATGGAACAGCATGCCTATCCCCAGGAAGCATTGCCTTGAACTCACCCTCCTCCATATTGTCATACACAAAAGACTCAAAGGAAGTGCAAACTGTATTTATTTGTAAGTCCTCCTCCAGTTACAACACAGCATCCCATCCATCTTGGAAATTCCTGACTCAAGGTAAGGACTTAGCCCTCCCTTCCCAGCTGATAGGCTTTAGGTCACCAAAATGTCCAGCACTCTTTGTTTGAAGTCTCCGCTTCTCCTTGATGAGACCCAGCTATTGCTGCTGAGGTTTCATCCTCCTGGAGCAGTGCTGGACTGCATCCACTGGCTAGGGCATTTTCAGCCAGAGCAAGAGAAATTCCTCGATCCAGTGGGTCCTGTTGCCCTGACACGATGTCTAGTCCTCAAGACTCAAAGTTCTTCAAGCATCACTTAACCCACTTGCAGCCATTTAGGCTTCAAGTGTAGATCACAACATAGTTTGCTGATTAAAAGCAGACATATCCAGAACCAGCAAATGATCTAAAACCTCATTAAAATTCCCACCCACAACAAATAATCATAAGCAATAGCAACCAATTTGCCAAAACACTAATGAAACGCAACAGAGAATCATTTTAGGCCCATACTCTCCTGCCCAGTGCCCACATTGCCCAGCCTCCAAGCGACCTTCTTAGGAATTGTCAGTTCAATCCAACAGTCAAGGCTGTGTTTTTTGTGTGTGTCCGATGTTTCAAATCAGGCAGAGGTGTCCAAAAGATGTCCAATGAGCAGGCCAGGAGACTAGATACCAGTTAGTTTCAACAAAGTCCAAGAATACAGACAATGATGCTTGTTGTTTGCCACGAAGAGCACCTCTGTCTGAACTATTCTATAGCCAGCTGTAGGTCAGCTCAGCTGACTCATTGAGTCCACGTGCTGTCTCACAAAAAGCTCTCCTTTCAGGCTGTTTGGACTTTTGTTGAAGCTGTGCACTCCTCCTTTCTAAGGAGTAAATTCTCTTGGGGCTCTTGGGGAACCCCAGGGACCGCCCAGCCGGGTCCTGCCTCTTCCTCTAATGGAAAGCGGTCATCTGCAGCCACCGGTGGATGGGCTCACCGCACTTCACTGCCTTGCTTCATCTGAACAGTCCTCCATGAAGTAGGACATGACACATACATACTGATCAGATCAATTGCTATCATCATATTTCCCAGCAGGGTAAGTAATGCCCCTTTGAACTGAAAAGAATAGCAGCTTAAGGAATAAAATTGAAAACCCTTTAAACCAACTTGACGTATCAGTTACACATGCCTCCTGAATCCAGTCTTTTCTCAACAGGTGTGCACCTGCAGCCAATGGGTTTCTTCGAAAACAACTCTCCAGCAATTAGAAAGCTTATATGGATTCTGGAAGCCTTTGACATTCCGTGAAGTTACATCAAACACAGAAAAATAGATAACATATCACCTCCCCCTCTATATGCACAGATTTCCTCCTCCTCCTCCTTTGTTTTTTACAGAAATGTCCTACTTTTAAGGACTATACCATGTGCATTAATGCAGGAACTCCACAATGGCCCAGGCTAGTACCTATTATGCTGAGCCTTGAAAACAGGAACAGGTTTATATAATAAAAAAACCCAGGTATCTCGCACAATGCCCAGTTCCACCAAAAAAAGACCTCCCTCCCCAAATTCTAAAATAACAAAAGAAACACAAAGAGACTGAGGCAGAAGAGAAATTTGTGCCTTCCAATAAGGGTGGCAATTTAATGCATCCCACCTGTTTCTCGTCACTTATTAAACACATTCTTAACAGAAAAAGTGGGCAGTTGAAAAGCAAATTTAACATGTGTGTTAACTATAAAAGTTTGGCTAATTGCCTTTTAGGGCACAAGCCCTGTTTACCCAACAGGGACAAAGATTTGGGTTTCCCTAATTCTCCTTCGTGTCTGTTGTGCAAGCAGAGAGCTGCCCTGAAACACAGCAGGATGGGCTCTCAGCCTTGGATGGGGCAGAGGGGCAGCTGCAGCAGGCTGAGAGCAGCTCCATGGCCAAGGAGGCATCTTCCCTTGAAGACAAGGCCTATGGGGAGCAACTCCCTTGTTTTCACAGAAAATTTACCCTGCTGGAAACTCCAGGAAAGCATGATTTGGCAGTCAAACAAGGCATCTGATCACAAAAGGCACTTTTTCGTGCAGGTGCACAATGCTGCAATTTGGGGGCATAGCAACAGTTTAGGGGTACAGAGGATACCAAAGAGGACAGGGGGACCACATGTATCTCACGGTCAGCTAGTTGCTTACCTCTACCGTAAATGGTTATTCTGATACACCCCTTGTGCTGCAGCCATGGGATACTTGAGTGAGAACTTTATTTACTTTGATTTCACATGTCTGGAGTTGATTTTCTTTAGTGCATTTTATTCCTAGAACAGTTTTATTCCTTGTTCCAGCAATGCAAGGGCATGTTGTCTCTCTACCCAAACCCTCAGAACGAACGCCTTTTGTCTGCTGGCAGACTTATCTAGGAATGGCACGGATCTGGAAAGGGCTTGGGCTGATCGTTATGGCAAACACTCTCTCCACACTGGGCCTGGGGCAGTTCTCAGGAAGGCAAAAGGTGAAATGCTGCAGGAGGCTGGTGAAGAAGAGGAAAAGTTCCATTTTAGCCAGCTGTTCTCCAGGGCAGACATGGCGACCTGCAGAAAAAGGAAGTGGAATATTTTGTGCGTGGGAACAGGAGGAACAGAATCTGTCTGTCCCCCTCTCTGCATGCATCAGTTCTTTCCTGGGGACCGCAACCACATTTTTCGGCCACAAATTTCAGGTCGGCTTATGCTGACTTCCACTCTCTGCAACCTCTGGCCAATCCAGTCATGTGACTGTGCCGCTAAGGGTTCAAATCAGCCCAGATTGTGTTTGTGGCAGTTCAGCACAAATCAGCATTTCAGGTGGCTCTCGAAGGTGTACTGAAACTTGTACTCAGTCCAGTCACTTAATGACAGGCTGAACTGGGTCTGAAAACCGGACTTAGCATTCTATATAAACAGACACATAAGTAAATTCTGTGAGAAAGAATCCACTTGTTCTCAGTGCAACTTGCTCCCTAAAAGGTAACTAAGCGACGGGGGGAACTGCCTTTAAATATGATAATTCATAAGAATTAGATTTTGGTGTTTGTTTACTTTTCAACCCAATGCACCTGTATCTAGAGTTCTCCCATTTGCCCAAACAACTGCCTATGGAAAATGCTGCCTTCCATAGTTGTTACCGCTTTCCCCCATGTGTCCCAACCATCCTTCTCTTGCATTACCTAGAGAGAAAGGCAGGAAGGCCTCCCGCCTGACAAAGCGCCCCTCTGCGTCCAGGAAGTGCTCCGGGTAGAACTCATGAGGCTTCTCCCACATGGTTTCATCCTTCAGCACAGAAGACACATGACTGACGACTAAGGTCTCCTAATGTGGCACAGGAGCAAGTGATTAGACATCTCTGCTGGTTTGGGCTGGCGCTTATTTTATTATCGAATACAGGGGTCTCAAACGCGCGGCCCACGGGCCGCTATTGGCCCGCGGGACGATATTTTGTGGCCCCCACTTGGTATCAAAGTTTAGTGATAGTGCGGCCCGCGCGTTTTTCTCACACGCACCTGCGTGAGTCGTTACCCTGGGCGCAATGTTCCCGCTAAGCTGCAGGATGGACGGGGCACGGGGGAAGGGCCCTGCAGCCTTCAAAGCGCCGGCGGCGCCCGGGCCGGCCTCCGGGAGCCACGCGGGATGAGCGGCCCACCACCACCACGGTGAATCCTTGATGCGGCCCAGCCTCACCCAGACTCTACTTCCAGCGGCCCCCAGGGAAGTTGAGTTTGAGACCCCTGATATAATACAATCAATAACTTGTATGATAAGTTATTGTAAATAAGATAATGTGACAATTTTATCAAAGGGTTGCCTGATTTGTAAAGCTCAGTTGAGGAAAGTATATGAGAGAGTATTGGGAGGAAATACTCCTGGTTCAATATATAAACAAACAATAACAGACTCAAGAGGCTTGTCACAAAGGAGAGCTACTGAAGGAAGATAATAAACAAACATTATCTAGACAGCTAGAAAATTGATCTTGCACGGGAGTTTTTCTTCAAGTGAAGGGAGCTGAGCAGGAGGGCAGGAAGCACACTGCCTAAATATGCAGTCAGAGACCAGGATCCGGCCCCCTGCCCAAATTCTCAGCTAGCTGAAGGTGTTTTCTGAATGGTGTTCTGTGAAGCTACAGAGCCCAGATGCGTGACTGTGCAGAGATGCAAAGACTCCTGCTCAGGTTCCTGGGAGTTGCAGTTCCAGCTGAAAAGCTTCCCTTATGCAACATACACAGTTGTACCATCATGCATGCACTTACTGTGGCCAAAGTGCTCTTAGGATATCTCACTTGGGACTTGTGCCTACCAGGAGAGTTGCTCAGTGCACAGTTCTGGACAGCTTTGTGTGATCCTTCTAGCTCACATTCAGCAGGGGTGGTTGTTGCAGGAGCAGCAACATACATGGCCTCTCTCAGGCAACATTTTGGGTCAACCTGCATCGCAGCAGGCCCCATGCAATGCTTGCTCTACAGCATGGTCCTCAAACTACAGCCCCTGGGCCAGATCCGGCCTGCCATGCCCATTTATCTGGCCCACCTCAGAGGTTTTGGACTCGCTCAGAGAAAACCATCTCCAAGCGAGCAAGCCGCCGCTGCCTCGCCTCACCACGTGCGCACCAGCCCCCGCCTCGCCTTGCCTTGCGGCACGCATGCCTGCCCCCTGCCCCATCGCCACCCTGCACCCGCCGCTGGCACCGCCTTGCCGGCCCGTGCCCACCACCAGCACCATTCAACTGGCCCCCTGCTGAAAATGTTTGAGGACCCCTGCTCTACCGTGATGCTTGTGCCTGGACAATCCAGCTCTCCCTCTCTTGCTACCACATCTTGCTTTTCCCCAGGTATTCACCCTTTAGGTCAGACCCTGTGTTTTCCAGAGCCCCCCTGAGCTGAACTGGAGAGGCTTGGCAGACCCCACCTTTCAGTGATGCGCTGCTAGATAATATATCTGCCATAGGCATTTTAGCAATTGCTGCGTGCTCGTGAGAGCTAGATGAGTCTGTTCTGCAGATACACAGTGGTACCTCAGCTCACGAACACCTCACTTCACAACCAAAACTGGTCACGAAAAAAATTTAAGAAACATTTTTACTCAGGTTGCGAACTCCGCATCAGCTGACGATCACGATCATGCCCATCTTCCTCCGAATGCACCCATGATCACTCCCGTCTCCCCGCAGCGCACCCGCAATCACGCCCCTCTGTGGCTGCAATCACAGTCGCACTCATGCAGGGAACATGGGCGCGAATGCGGTCATGCTGGGTGGGGGGAGATGGCCGCGGTCATGCTGCGGGGTGGGGAGACGGCCGCGATCTTTGTTGTTCTTTGTCACTTTGCTTCAAATGTTTGTGATTTAAAAAGGAATAGTTACAGAACAGATTAACCTTATTTGTGATCATTAAAAATATGCATTTTCATACTGTAGTCAATAGTGAAAAATGTATAGTTTCCTTTTAAAAATGGGCAGAAATCCTCACCTTTTCTGTTTGAACTGTGCATTTCCCGTATTCCAATCAAGCTGAAAAACAGGTCAAAACTGAAAGGGGAAATGAGCTTTGAAATGGGTGTCCCAGAATTTGCTGCCTCTCCACTTGCTAACCTTATCAATATTGACTATGGTCCTCCAGTCCTCCATGTGATTAACCAGAGCATGGGTTTAGCAACTGTGCTTTTATTTTCCAAAACAATTTTTTTAGGGACTGTACCTTAGGGATGACAAACTCGCCAACCTCAGCATCTTTGTACGTTATGTAAGGAAAGGCAAGAGGTACAATATCAGCCAAACGCTGAATTTCATGGATCACAGCAGAAACGTAAGGCATGCTCAGCTGGTCCTCCATTACAGGTGACCTCAGCTTTCCAATCACTGTATCAATTTCTTCTTGGACTCTTTCTGAAAATATTAATTCATTTCAAAGTTTTAGTTTGCATTCCTACACTCATCTACCTGCAAGGAAGTCCATTTGAACCCTGTGGGACTTTCTGTTGAGCAGGCATGCACAGAATTACACTGTTAATTTTTATGCGTGTATTGCATCCTTCCTCCAAGCTGCTTTGATTGGTATTTTCTAAGTCTCACAGTAATCCAGGCCACTCTGAGATAAGAAATGAGGAACAGTAATTTAGAGAGCTAGATTGTCATCAGCATGAAAATGGGATTTGATTCTATCTCCACAGGAAGTGCATGAAGTCCCTGAATGGGGTGGCATCCTCCTTAAGGACCCCGTTTTCAGCTTTGACTGAGCCCTTGGAGGCATCTGCAGCGGCTCCAGGCCTTCCTGAACTTGCCACAGGGGAGGGAACCCTTCTGACATGTCTGCCCATCAGCCATGCCCGGAGATGATGGGTGTTGCCATCCATCACCACCTGAGAACCCAAGCTGGGAAAGGCGGCTCGAATCAGTTTTCTGGGCTCTGCGTATTTGCAGCAAGCACACTGTTCACAGCTTGCAGTGTGATGATACAGTCACCGACTGCCTGTGACACCCTCACAAATCACTTCACTCTGTCCACAAATCTCTCGGACCATGCAGACCACCCACCATTGCAGATCTATCAGGCAGAGTCATGGCCTCATGGCCTGGCGTCCCATCTAGACAGACGTCGTGGGCCAATGCGCAGAGCAAAGAGGTCGTGGCTCCCAGGGAACACCCCAGATGTCATCCCCATGCAGTGCGTGGTGCTGACTTCAGCTACAAACATTTTTTAAAAAGGCTAACTAATTGGCCCCCTCTGATGTGAAAACCAAACAACGGCTCCCCCATAGAACTGGGTAATGGGACATGAGGTGAGGTGAGATGAGACGCAAGCACTGTTGAACTAACTGGAAACAGGGACTGCGGCGCGATGGCATTCAATGTCCCTGCAAATGGACAATTGCCAAGGGAGTCCCATACATTCCCCTTAAAGGGAAATGTCTAAACAATTACAGCAGTGGTGGCCAGAAAGCTGGAAGGAAAAGTCAAGTGGGCAAAAACCTCTTCAGAAGGCTTGAGGGCTCCTCAAAAACACCAGAAGAGAAGCTCAGCTGGAATGTCCATCGCAGGCCAAGACAGGTGGCACCAACCAAGAGGCCACCGGCACGGTTAACAAACCGTGTCAGAGAAGGTGTTAGAGGAAAGAATGCTTCCTTGAGAAAATGAACTTGCAACTGATGGCGAACAGAAAGGAACGCAAATGCACACTGAGCAGGCGGTGCTGAAGCAACGTGCACAGAAACTTGCCTGTCCTCCAACCCCTCTCAGAGTTCCCCAGGGTGCTGGCCAATGCCTGGTCCTGCCTGTCTGAGGAACCAGTCTTCCCCTATCCCTTGGTATATCCTCAAACCTAAGACTGGGTAAGCCCTCCCATTGCACCCATTTAATTGATGTTTGCCTGTTTGTTATTTTCAAGTCACTCAGTAACCAACATTCTGTGGGCAGGGAACAAAAAGCCAAAGTCCTCCTTCTCCCACAATGCTTATCACTTACTCTGGACCTCAGGATGGAACACCATGTAGATCATTCCCCAGAGAATAGTGGAAGATGTCGTCTCAGTGCCAGCCCCAAACAGGTCAATGACAATAAGCGTGAGGTTTTGTTCAGTGAAAGTGCTCTCTGGATTCCCTTCAGCCTGCAGGAAAGAGAACAGATTGGTGATGAGTATCTGCAAAATGTGTCAGCAAGACTGGTGATTATGAAGGTCTCCACTAAGTGGGCAAAGTGGGCTGCCAGTTTCTGGCTTGCCTCCCTCTGACTTGCCCTGGCCTTTGGCCCTACTTCACCCGGCCAGGACTGCCATCCAGCCACATGGACTGCAGTGTTCTTCTGGTCGCCCACCCCCAGCATGCTGGCATTCACTGTCGCCTGACATGGGCTGGGCAATGCTGGGGGCAGTGGCCTCGCAAACTGGGGCAGCAAGCCCAGCAGCCCAGCCCCGCTCTGTGTCCCCAATTTTACTGGCTGGGTGTGTGTGGCAAAAGTTCCTCCGTCCGTAAGCAGCTGAAATCCAAAATCCAGAGGAAAACAGGCAGGAAATCCTACCTTTTCTATTTCCTCCAGGTATGCATCTATCAAATCTCGTGGACACGCAGGGTCTCTGGTTTTCTTATGTTCATTTACGATCTCTCTGATCCTAGCGCTGAGGTCTTCAAAGTGTTTCTGAACTTCACGATGTGGTCCAGGAAGATAGGACAACCAGCTTCCTGCCGCTAGAAGCTGGTGCAAGAGAAAACAAGGGAGGAAAATACGTGGACACTTTCTAACGTGGAATGGTAACATTTATGAAACATTTCACACAACATGGAATTCCATTCTCAGTGCCTAAATTCCCCCTTTTCACTTCGAAGAGGGGCAAGTGCTTTCCCAAGTTCATCCCCGTTCCTCCTCCTCTTCCCTCATGTGAATTTAAGTTGTTGACCTTCATCTTGTCCCTCTACTTTGAGTGAGAAGAATTTGGAAAAGAGCTCCCTTGCTGCCCAAGATCGAGCTGTGGGGTCGTGCACCAGACAGACCACACAGTAAGTCAGTGTGCAAATATTTGCAAACAATATCTATGAAAATGAAGGCTAAATTGCAATGAAAACGAGGAAACCCATGTCTGTAAAAAGGACGAAAAGGGAGCTCACCCAGATGAATGCAGGCTGTCCTCCCGTGGACACCCAAAGGGCCCCTGCGATGGTGGAGGTCTCTGCCCAGGCTCTAGGAAGTGGAGTGGCTATGCTCCAGCAAGGCTCAAGTGACATCGCCAGTCATGGCTGTCAACTGCCCAGAGTGCTTTGGCTATGGGGTGGGGCAGAGATGACAGAAATAATATCGATCATAATGGCCCCCCACTGCCAGCAGTCGGTGTAGACGTGGAAATGAATAAGGAACCAGGGATGTGCACCTGCTCGGTGAGCTCTGGGTTTTCCCACATAGTTCACCTTCACCTCCACCTCCAGGGAATACTCTTTGGACATGCCACAGGGTCATGCATGGCCCAACATTTCATCTTGGTACCAATCCTGCCCTCCTGCCCAAATAGATAACATGTGCACATAAATGAGCCAGGAGCTAAGACTGGACCACCCGGCATCATAGTCCTACATCTCCAGAAGAACATCCTCCATGAGGTGGCATGGCGAATGCCTGATCTGGGTGCAAGGCACGATCAAGAATGGCAGCCCACCTCAATCATTGTACTTGGAGATGAACCAGGAGCTGGGCTGGGCACTCGAAGCCGCTGCCCCCTGAACAGTGTGCTCTGCCTGATGGCACAGATTTACATCTGGCTCCGAGCTGGCTTGGGGCCCTGGGCTAGTATGGTGTGGTGGCAGGGCTGGGACTGTGTGGCCTGCAAATGAAGCGTTGCGTCGGATGAGAGTGCCTGGGAGCAGGTGTGATGGTGACTGCTCACTTCAGCAGGCGTAATGGTGATATTGTAAAGGGAACGAGCAAGATTGGAATCAGAAATCTTAGAGTTTTGGTTTTAGTTTTTCATAACTGTGCCAGTAAATAAAAATTGTTGCAACACTGAAACCTTTGAGAAGTTCTTAATTTTTATCCATTTCCAACAATGAGAAAATCCTGGCTT